GACTAGAGATTTAGAGATACTGGGAAAAGGTAGCAATTATTTTACTTTCAACGTTTCAAAGATGCTTGGCAGCTTTAAGAAGTTAAAATCTGAAGGCGCCCAGTAGCAGTAAACCTGAAGAGAACCTTGGCAGGAAGGCAGCCAAATGCGCCTGGAGAAACCATGCAGGAGACAGGCGTGCAGCTGGGACTGCAGGCTCAGGATGCATGGCTGCAGCAGGGGGCCAGCTCAAGGACAGCTTGGTTATGGAGTGAATTCCAGGTCAACCTGGGCCACACACAAAGAACATGTCTCAAAAAGGAAAAATGCCAAGTGAGTGGAGACAGACCATGACAAAGCCTTCTGGAGATACATCCCTGGGGTGGTTTACTCCCTAGCAAGACAGCTACCTGGTCACTGCAGTTAGTCTGTAGGGTCCAGGGGCGTGGGGCAAAGGGGGACATACAGAGGAAAGGAGAAAGACAAGAGAGGCTGGTACACTAGATACCCTCAGGCACCTCATGGCCATGCCCTCTCCACATGTTCTGATGAATGAAGTCTTTAAGCTTTAAGTACTTTTCTTTCCAAAAGCATCAAGGTCAAGAACAAGAATCCAACCATCTAGAATGTTTGCTCTCTGAGAAGCAGCGCCTTGTTGGAAGTGCCAGGATAACAGGAAAAATGCACACAAGCGTTTGTCTGTCTGTTTTGTGATGGACACGATACCATTGCCTTTGCAAACCACACAAGTCTCAAAGTGCTCAGTGACATGTGTGATTTAAAATAAAACCCACACAAAAACAAAATGGCTGCTTTAGAGCTACTGACGCTTCCAAAATATGGAGAGCTCATATAATTCCAGTGTTTGCACTGTGAGGAACATAGAGCTATAACATAATTTCTCATCTCTGCTGCTATTACTGACAAAAAAAAAAAAAAAAAAAAAAAAAAAAAAAAAAAAAAAAAAGTCCCTTACTTAGAAGCCAATAATTTTTCAAGAAGAAAGATTAAGTAGAGATCCCTATCAGGGCAGCAAGTAATGCTTTCAACCCACAGGAAGACTGGGAGTGAAGGCATCAGACTAGAAGTCACAGCATCTTAAAGACAGACACAGACTAAGACAGACACAGACTAAGTGGCAGTTTTGATTCCAGAACTCTGCTTCATGAGCCCACAGTGAGGCAAATCAGGAAGAAGCCGGAAGTGCAAGGCACACCGTGGCTAGTGAGTTCTGTGCTCAAACTCATGGGAAAACACTCAACTCCTCCAGCTCCCTCTCAGCACAGGCAACTCCTGCTCCCCTAATTTTAACAGAAACAGATTAGTATCTGAAAAAAACACAAGCAGAAACTCATTAGGTACCAAACACAAACAAGGACACCTTACAAAAGAGAAAGTAAGATTACTCTGGGGCCTGACACATGGGAAGTATTTAAACACATACAACAACTTGCAAGGCGAGTTATTAAAATGCCCAAGGAACATATAAAAAGGAAATCAAGGATGTTATAAAGCAAACAGAAAACTCAGAAATTCTCGACATCTAGAGATTGAATACCCAGCCAGCAGGAGGACCCAGAAGGAATAGAGAAAATGAGATGGGACAGGGAGCTTATTAAGAAACAAGGCAAGAAACGTTTGTCCAGGTAAAGTTTCCAGGTTTAAAGTGGCACCGAATGAGCAAAACCAAGACATTAATGAATAAATTCAAGATGCACCAAATACAGAATAATATTATAAAATGCTCATGGTCTGTTAAGTCATAGGACTAGAAGTAAAAAGTAGGAAGGATGGCCAGCATTCATGTGACCCCAGCAGTCCTGAAGGGGACATGAATGGACAGAGCCTTCTAAATCTTCCAGGAAACACTTAACCAAGACTCCATGAGCAGCCAGCAGCTGGGGAGTGAATAGACCATGACATTTCCAGTTGTCCGAGTTCTCAAACTTCCTGCCTACTCTGCCTTTTCTCCTTTCAATAAAAGAGGGGAAACTGGAAGAGGGACCTTACATCTGAGGCCACTGAGGAGAGGCCGGGAGAGTGTCTGGAATACAGCAGAGGACCCTCTACCATGACAGCTGTTGAAGGCAACAGAGACCTGGAGCTAAAAGATCTGAAGAAGGCACAGCCAGGAGCAAGAAACCAAACCCCTTGGGCTCGGGGTCTACCCGGAGAGCCTGGAATAAACCAATAGCAAAGACTAAGGAAACTAGCAGCTAGCTAAAAAACAAGGTGGGATACAAAACATGATGAAATATTACAATGCCTAGATACCAGCATTCCTATCATAAAAACATCCATGCATCCTATAATTGATAAAAAGCCAAATTGGAAAGCTATGGTAAGGAAACAAAGAGGGGGGTTGAAAAATTAAACCTCACAATCCAAAGTCAAAAGTCCATGTGAGATGGGGGAGGGCGACGACAGACAGAAGAATCTGTGTGTAACATTGAAGAAGCTGCAGTTGTGAATTTGAGAAGGAGCAGGGGAAGACAGGAAGGGTTAGGAGAAAGAGGAAGCAGTGGAAACAATTTAAATACAGTATCCATGTGCGAAATTCTCAAAGAAAAAATTTTAAATGATAATGTAATCCAACAGCCATCTAACAAATGAATTTTAAAGATGCACAAGCAGAAAATGGCTTCTGTTAAAAGTACATCTGGGAAATAAAAGTACAAGCTTTTTTGAAGCTTTTTTTTTTTTCTGAAAACTCATTAATATTTTTCAGGCTGAAGGATTATTCTGTAAAGTATATGGTCATTTTAAAATGACCATCCCATAAACAGCCTATCTTTTGCATAATGCAGAGGTAGGATCCCAGGTGCTCACACACGACAGGCAGCGTGCCACCTTCTACCCCACCCCACCCACGATCTGCAGCCCAAATTGGCAAGTTAGCTTATGATGGAATTATAGACCTTTGAAACAAAAGCATTTAGTCACACAGCAAAAGTTTACAGATTAATATACAAATCTAGTCAGGTACTGATTTTGGTTTTGAAATCTTAGTTCTCTACCTAAAATGTTTCCTATAAAATTCAAATATACTAAAAGCACAAATAAAAACACATCATTTCACTGCATGTCCTCATGACTTTATATCTGCCAATAAAAGCAAAATTAGATAATCAGTCATCTGATCAAAAATATTAATGAGATTTACGTTAAATTTACTAAAAGTTTCTTCTCTTAAAATTGAGCCCTGTAATCTAACTGGTGTGGCAGCCAGCTGATACACGGTGGCCCACATCCAACTGCCTTCTGTTCCGTGATTCCATCAGCTAAGAACCGTTCAAATTGCTTCGAATTCTGATCTCTGTCCATAAATGAGTGTCACTGGAACGCAGCTCTGTTCACTTAATTGTGAATCTACAGTTGCTTTTGGGCGATGATTACGTAGCATAGTCACAACAGAGTGTGTAGTCTGAAAAACTTAAGTAATCTATTACATGATCCTTTGCAGAAAAAGGCTTATTGACCTCTGAGCTAAAGTATCATTTGACTTTTGTTTCAAATTATGAAGCCATACTCCTACATCAAAACATCCATACAGAAAGACCATAAATCAAGGACCACTTGGTTGAGTAAGAAGGTGGGACTCAGAGGGACTTTCTGGAGTGTTGAGAGTCACTGTGTTGAGCAGGAGCAGAACTGATGCTGGATTCTCTGGACATCAGGGTACCACACGACTAACAGGCAGGATTTACCCCAGTACATCCTTGCTCCTATGACTCTCTAATATGCTACCAATAAGTCAACAGTTAAAATGTTAATGAAACCTGGGCCTAGTTCCATCTCCCCCAAATATTTAAGCTAGATTTCTGTTGATATTAACCTATAGCCATGCCAAGACAGCAGTCCAGAATCTATGTACTGTTAAGGATTGGATTTCGGATGTCAGGGAGAACCCAGCTCTGGCCCTGGACCCTCAATATCCCTCTGGCTTAGCAATTCTCTAAGTCACTCAACTTTGTTCGCCCTTCTCACCTCTACAGGGGAGTCAAATACAGGTGAGTGACCTACATCAAGTCAACATAACGTACTGACTACTCTAGAATTAAAAGGTGAAAAAACTCTACCTGTGCTTGTCTTCCGCTCAAGTATCTCATAACCACCCATTATCCTTGACGGGCTTGAGAAGCGGCGTCTACACTTCAGTATGCCTAAGCACTGTTCTGATCCCACCAGTGCAGGTCCCCTCTGCCCATCCCGCACATGTCACATTGTTTGTCCTGGAGAGGTGAGACCTGTGATTTCAAGTTCCAATAGGATTTGAGATGCAGTGGATCATTGACAGAGACAGTGTTTCTGGAGAATGGACAGAGGCTGAGGCTAAAGAACATGGCAAAGGCTAAGCAACCACAGCCAAGTTAGTGAATACAAAAGAAAAGGAGCAGCAAACTACTCGTTTCCTTAGTGGTTCTCCTCGAACTCTCTGACCATCTCTCTGCTGTCTCTGTCTCTACCATCTGTCTCTTTCCGTGTCTGCCTCTCTCTCTGGGGTGTGTGTGCGTGCGCACACGTGTGCACTAATACTTCTATATCTGCTGGTGTCTGTCTGTTAACTGATGCTACATACACTAGGATTGGTTCCTAGTTTATGGAGGTTTGCACTTCCAGTTATACATCCAGTCAAACATGGAAGCAGCACACGAAATGGACCTTAAATGAGCTTAGCCCTTGGGTCACAACAGACTCCCACTTTTGACTTAGAACTGAGCCACTATACCCTGATTACCAATGTAGAAAAGTGAAGACCGATTCATTTCCTTTACTGACATGTTTTTGAAACAGGGAAAAAAAAAAAGTGCTCCATATTATAAGCTAAAACTGTGGCTAAAAGTACTCCCCAAACTCAGTAGAGCCTACACTGAGGAATTCTGTAATGCAAGACAGGAGGATTGCATGCCAGAACAGCCCGCACTTCAGGTGAGACTTCTTCACCCGCAGCCTACTCCCCAACCAGAAACAGAATCAAGAGGGCCTGAGGAGGAGGAAGAAAGAGCACACACTCACAGTACCTTGCTCCAGTCTGAATCGCAGGGAACGTCTGGCCGCTTCCATCTCGGGAGTCGGGTTATCTAGGACGTGTCTACACCACTGTAAAGGACTCAGGGATTTCTCTGATGAGGGGAATGTCTTTGAAGTACCAATATATAACCTTAAAAAAAAAAAAGAAATCTACATTATAGGCAGGATATAGATTAGAGAAAGACCTCTCTTCTGGAGGAAACAGCATGTACTCAACAGTTCCCATAGAGACAGAACCGCCTCTGATTGCTTCAAAGTCCCTCCCGAGAGTTGTTTTTAACAGGCAAATATCCCCAAATAGAACAGGTCACTTTCCAAAGCCTGCGGAGAACAGCTTAAAAACACAACTAATCCCCATCCATTTAGCTCTGTTTGAGAGAAGCTTCTAATACAAAACTGGCACTTGACATGTCTGGAAATTAACGCCATCTCTCTGGTCTCTAACAGGATCCTTCCAAGTTGCTGCGATTCTAACGAGCATCTATTCCTGAAACACCCAATTTCATGATTACCCTTTTGGTATCATAGACAGGACAGCCACCTGTTAAAGTGGTATCGTGGAAGATGTGTTCTACTCTGGCAACTCCACTAGCTTAGAGGCTGGCCAACAATTTCCATGAAGGACTAGCTAGTAATGACCCTTGGGCTTTAGAGTACAATCTATCACACTGCTGTCTCCTCAACCCTGCTGTTGTAGCCCTCAAGCACTGCTCATGCGGTCAGAATTTAACTAAAAAGGCATGACTTCATTCTGACCACTTCAATCCCAGCATCAGGGAAGCAGAGACAGATCTGTGAGTTCAAGGCCCTACAGCAAGTTCCAGAATGCCACAGCTACACAGTGAGACCTTGTCTGAAAAACAAATGTTTATATCCAGCGATTTTCACATTTTTTTTTTGAAAGTTGGCATTCCATCATTGAAAACTGTAAGAAGCCATACAAAGCGGGGTGGTGGTGGCAGGTTGACTTTCTCTTTTGCTGACTCCTGTTATAGATGAGGAACCTAAAATATCTAATTTCATGGTAACTGCAATACATCATCCTTTTCTCAGAGTGAGGCTCACAGTCCGAAAGCCACTAAGCACCCATTGGTCCACCATTTTGGATTCCATGGCTCCACCTCTGCCCTCCATTGACACAGGTGGGTAACATTCCCTCCACCAGTCCTTGCCTAGAGACTACTGTCGTGTCCAGTACCAGGTACTTCTCTCTGGTCCAAGTAGAGTTCAGGCTGGACACTTGCCCTTACTCTTTGGTACTTCAAGCGCAATTGCTCGAGCATACAGAACTCCAGTTTTCTGAGTCAGTAGGTTCAGGGTAAGTTCAAAGAATCTAAATGTCTAACAAGTTCCCCGGCAATGATGATATCTCTGGTGTCAAGGAACACACTTAAGATACTCTGGACTAAATCAATCATGGTAATTCCACTGCCCCACTTTGCCCAGAGTCCTGTTCAGACCCAAGCCTCAGCTATAATCCATGACAATCTAAACCAATATAGGACTACAAATGACATGTACTGTTTATAGAAAATTAACTTAAATGGATATATAGAGAAAAAGCTAAAAAGTAAAAATTTAAATTAAAAAAAACATGCAAAGAAAGACCAAAGCTTAGAGGGGGTTGATTGTTGAATTCTGTCACATATCTAAACAAAATACCAATTCTTCACAAACCCTTCCACAAAGGACAGATGACACCCTGATATATTTCATGTAGACAGTGTTTTCCTGACTCTATAGCCAGACACAGACATTGTGGGGGGAGGGGGGTCTCTAATGACCACTATCACTCATGAACAGATGCAGAGTCTAAATATTTTAGCAAGCTGAGCCTCACATAGACACACTTCATCTTCACCACGTGGAGTTTATTCCAGAAATAAAGCTTAGTTAACATTTAAACATCAATGTAACTTATTTCAGCTAAAATGGAAAAAGCCATGTGAGGATCTCAATAGACAAAGGAAAAAGCGTTTGATAACCATTTAAAAAAACATTCCAGTAAAACTGGAAGCTGAGGAAACCCCCTCAACCCAATTGGAGAGCTATTTTTAAAGATGCTGCAGCATTCTAATGGTGAAAGAGAACATTTCTCCTAGAGCAGTGAGGACACAAGCTCGTTATCATTCCTGGTCCAGGTTCCACAGAGGCCCTACACTGCCACCAGGGAACGACTAGGATTGGGGACTAAGCAGAAATAAACCCGTCTTTCTTCACAGGTAACACCATCTGTTTAAAACTGAGTCTAGTAGCAATGTTTGTAGGATGCTGGGTCAATGTACATCATTGTGCATCTGTAAATATCAGCAACAAAATACGGATACTTAGGTATTTGTCCTTTTCCATCTACTATGGCATTTTAAAGACTGTCAAACACATCTAACAAAAATGTGCTTGAGATTTATACAATAGAAACCACAAAACCATTGAGACAGAAATTAAAGGCATAAATTAATGGAGAGATATACCAGGTTTGTAGCTGAAAGACTAAATACTGTTAAGGTGTAGGCTGTCCTTAAAGTTATCTTTATAATTAACAAAACTCCAATAAAAATCCTAGCAGGGTGTGTGTGTGTGTGTGTGTGTGTGTGTGTGTGTGTGTGTTCTATAGCTGTGATAAACACCATGATCAAAGCCTACTGGGGATGAAAGGAATTTTTTCCTTACACTTCTAAAATTCACACAAGTGGGGTGGTCCTTCAATAGCCAAACAATGTGTAAAGGCAGCAAAGCTGGAGAGCTATCACTAACTGACGAATCAGGACAGAGCTACAGCTGTGAAGACAGTTTAGTGTGGCACACAGATAAATACGGGAAAAAGGACAGTCCCCAAATGGAACCAAGCATAGAACATGAATCTTAACAGGGCAAAGAAGTCAGTGAAAGATGGTCTTCTGAACAACTGAGGAAGGGATGAGGATATTCATACACAAAACCATGAGCTCTTGACTTACTAAACAGATATGAAGCCAGAGCCTGAAGAAAAACATTTTGTTAAAAGCCACAGGTGAAAGTCTGCATCCCAAGGTTGGCAAACATCCCGTCACTGTCGTTTCTAAGACAGAAATCAGGCATGATCCAGAAGAGAGAGAGGTACCAGCCGGCCTTACCAAAGCTAGTCTTTCCTCTTGGAAAACACTGCCAAAAGATTCAGAAGCAAACCACGCGTTTGGCGAAGACAGTTGCAAAGCATGTGCCTGACAAAGAGCTTCGATGTAGACTATATATACACCCACTCCAGCTGCTCCTCATGTACATAAGAAATAAGAACGAGGCACGCTGCAAACCTACCATGGAATCCAGAGGAAAGGCACACTACTGTGGCACCCCAGGGTGGGGACATGAAGAGTTTACAGTGATATAGGAACTTGGAGTGCTCTGTAAACATTAGCAGCTGGTTTAAAATTTTTAAAGTAAATCTTGTTGGCTACTTTTTCATAAAAAACAAAAATGTTGAAATGTTTCAACACAAAAATAAAAATTTGTAAATTGGGTGACCCCAAACTCTTTAGGTGCATCCAACTAAGATTAATGATCCCTCTCTGGTTTTTCCACCTGGGATCTCCTCTCATGTCTAAGGAAGGGACTCCACCAATAGTGTGCCATATATCCACACAAGCACTTTCAAAGCAATGAATGGCCAATTCTTATTTCCCAACATATTTGATGAATAAAGTTAAGTTTTCTTTCATTTAGATTTGCTTCAAACCACAGGAAAAAGTAATATGATATGGTGGTCCCACTAAATAGCTCTTTTTAAAACTTATTTCGATGATTTTTGGATTTTTTAAGTGACAAAACAGTAGAAAGCTTGTCAACCATATACTAATTATTGGATAACTGTGGTAAAGGCCTATTCAAAAATAAAAACTATATTTGGCAAGTGTACTTGTAGTACAAGTGTACTTGGCAAGTGTACATGTAACCAGGTAAACAGCAATACTATAATGAATTTGAGAGCCTGTCATCCCAGTACTCAAAGCTAAAGGAGTAAGGCATAAACTCTAGGGCCAGACTTGGCTACAGTGTAAGACCTTATCTCAATAAAGACAAATAATAATAATACTAGATTTTTAAATATGCCATATTTTAAAAGGACTGCTCCTTTGTGTTTCTATCAAAATTGCAGAATTTCTTTCCATTGTTTATGTACATTGTCATTTTTTAAAAAAGCAAAAACTCAAAATGATTTGAAATTGGCATTAGGGTTTACAGGCATTAATGAAACAAAAGAAGCCACTGCAAGGGCATTTCTCAATGCTATATTCAGGCTGAGCGACACTTAGGCCTTACAAAAAAAAAAAAAAAAAAAAATGCAGTTTAGAAAGAATGGCTTAAAGCTCCAGGGAATGTTGAGCTGCTAAAGCAGAACACGGTACACACACCATTCCCAAACTAGAGTCTACAGCAGATGAGAGATGTGCCCACAAAAGCTCCCAACAAATCTATGGCTTTTTAATTCTCAAATCAAAGTAATTGATGGTTAGGGTTTACATGTTTAAAACTTAAGGTTTAGTTGACATGTACAGTGCGAAAGAAAAAGGAATGTTGTGGTTCCCAATACAAAGTGAGTTGAGATTCTCCAATTCCCTTTTCCCTTCTGGTAAAAAGAGCACAAAATGAGAAATCCCGACTTTCTTAAATAAAAGCACCAAAGACACAAAAAAGCTGCCATTCTTCATCCTGCTGTTGTCCAGCTGTGAACACTGCTCAGATTCCCTGCAGAACCCAAGTCCACTTCACCCAACCTTCACTCCCAGGGTACCTCTAGAGACCAAGCAAACCCTAGCAGAAGTCCTCAGAGGACAAGCGCTCCTCGACCAAGCCACAGGAAAACACCACACTGATATAGATACCGGTCTCCTCCAAAAAGTACTCACTCGAGGACCACAGACACACAGCTAACCAGATTCCCACAGCATAAGTGCTTCAGGTCTTGACCATCCTTCTAGCAAAAGTCCCTAAAATTAGACAACAAAGTTTCTCCATCAGCACTGTCTTAGTTGGGGTTAGTATTGCTGTGATGAAACACCATGACTAAAGCCAAGTTGGGGAGTAAAATATTTAGCTTACATTTCCACCATCACAGTTCAAAGGAACTCAAACAGGGCAGGAACCTGGAGGCAGGAGCTGATGCAGAGGCCATGGAGGGGTGCTGCTTACTGGCTTGCTCCTCATGGCTTGCTCAGCCTGCTTTCTTATAAAACCCAGGACCACCAGCCCAGGGATGGCACCACCCACATTGGGCTGCTCCCCTTCCCCAATTAATCACTAAGAAAATGCTCTACAGACTTGCCTACAGCCTGATCTTAGGGAAGCATTATGTTAGTCGAGCTCCCTCCTCTCTAATGTCTCTAGCCTGTGTCAAGTTGACATAAAAGTAGCCAGCACTTTTCAAGCGTTCTTCAATCTGGTTTCATTTTTAAGATTAATTCCTAAGTTCAATTTTTTAAAAATAATTAGTGCCTCCATCTGCTCACTTCATTCCCTACCAAGCCTTCGCTTCCGACACCATTCCTGACACCCGAGGATAGAACTCTTTAATAACCAAATCAGTATCTGAGAGGTTATCACTGAAAACACAGAGAGAGGGCATACATAATGGCCAAGTCAACTGTAAGAGCGGATGTCTGAGAAGTCACCCATCACTAGGTGCTACCTAGGATGCTACCAAGGAGGGCTACACACCAATCCTGTGCAACAAGCATTTGAAAGGAAAGAACCGTTAATCATTGGATGACAGATGCCAAATCTTCCAACACACACACACACACACACGGTTAAGAAGCAGGACTGACTGCACGACAAGATGACATGAGCTGTGCAGTTAAGGCTAACGAGGCGCTTGGGACCCGGTAATCAGCTAAGAGCAGAACACAAGGCAGATGGCAGTTCCTCTCCAGTCCCCAGTCGGGACCAATAGGCGCTATCTGAAAACCGGTTTCTGCCTTCTTCATGGGGCGCTCAGGGCTTGGCACC